ATACACTTTTTCAGTTGTGGCTGGAACTATGTAGATCACATATTTTGCAGATAATGTTTTTCTAAACAGGTTATTAAAAGCAATTTAAAAAGCTACGTAAGTGCTATGCCAGCATTGTGCATCTTAGCAGTGGTTCTCAAACTTGGCATCTTTAAGACATGTGGACGTCAACTCCCAGAATTCTCCAGCCAGCATGGGGAATAATCAATCATATTAGACACGGTTAATGAAAACCAGTTCTGTTTTTTCCTGGTCCCGCCCATTTGTTAGCATGTGTTGCCCAGCACAGCACTCAAGAAGATCACATATTTTGCAGATAATGTTTTTCTAAACAGGTTATTAAAAGCAATTTAAAAAGCTACATAAGTGCTATGCCAGCATTGTGCATCTTAGCAGTGGTTCTCAAACTTGGCATCTTTAAGACATGTGGACGTCAACTCCCAGAATTCTCCAGCCAGCATGGGGAATAATCAATCATATTAGACACGGTTAATGAAAACCAGTTCTGTTTTTTCCTGGTCCCACCCATTTGTTAGCATGTGTTGCCCAGCACAGCACTCAAGAAGCCAAATGCCACATCAGCCCAAAAAGTTGTGCAGCCTGTGGTTAGACCTTTTTCTGCTCTTAGATTTGCTAAGGTGTTTTCCCCAAGACTGCTTCAAGCGATCTCAGTGGAATAACTTGATCGTGTGGAGCACAGAATTATGGCCAATGGGGTTCTTCTGCTGGGAGAACAGCCGTTTCTCCCTGTGATCTGCAAAAAAAAAAAAATTTCTAGTTCCAGAGCCATGAACCCTTCGGTAGATTGAATCCAGTTCATAACTGATGACTCAATTTTGTACTTTTGTTTAAATAGCTGTTTTAGTAATAAGAGTGCACCAAATGAAATTCAGAGTAAAGGTGAACTTAAAATCCACCTTTAATTTAAAGTAGCCATAACATTTCTTAGCAAATCAACTATCAGTTAGGAAGGTCTAAGCAGGCTGCATCTTACAAAACTAAACTCTTCAATCTCTCTAAAGGCACTATTGGATATCACATATTTTGAAGAAAACCAGCTTGTTGATGAAGAGTTCCCAGAAGAATCCTCTCTGCAGAAAGTTGAGGAACTAATTTGTGCACTTTCTGAGCCCGAGGTCTTGGTCAATGAAAGTGGCATTTCCCAAGAAGTAAGTATTAAGCCAGCCACAATCACTCAAATAGGACTTTTTTGCTCAAGAATATGATGAATAACAATGAATAGAGCCCTTCCATCTTCAAATAACTTCTGTTAATCTTTCATTCCTGTACTCTTTGTTGTGTGTTTTGCAACATATCACACCCAGTGGTGTGTTACTCTGTGAGATCAGTATAAGCTAACTTAATGTCTGATTGGCTCTCTTGAGCCATATAACTTCTTGTTAACTTTTAGCAAGTACAAAACACATGTTTTTTAGTAGTTGAAGTTGGTGTTGTAATCCCCATGAGCACCATATCACATGTAACACCTTAGATTATGCCCTGTTGACTTCCAAATAGTAACAGACTTAGTTGTTAAAGTTAAAAATGGCCAGAATTGAGAATAGTTTTTTCAAGATATCATGAGTCTGGCCTTCTTGAACTTTTAAAGATTTCTAATACTTTAATTTTCTTTTTTATATTTTGGCCGCACCATACTAAGTGAAATTGCCTGATGGTGCCAGCCACTTAGAAAGGTTGCTGACCCCTGTTTTATAGGGACTTGCTCTACCTACATGCTAGAAGTGTGCTGCGTTCCCCTCTTTTATATGAAGCTCAAGAATTTTCACTGATGGGCATCTTTTCTTAGCCAGTTGAAGTGCTTGGACTTGAGTTGCTGGAATGCCTTTATTGGAGAAGAGGTGCCTTAATCTACATGTTTTGCCACACAGTTAAAGGAAGAAAGGAATGGTTGAGGAAGGAGACTGATTCACTTAAAAAGGTATGTTTTCCCATTCCATCATAATAAATGTACTGGCCACTCCTGTAAGAATAATATCCTTTTTTCAAAATAAGTTCCAGGGGCAATTAGATGCACAAGATGTCTATTGAAATTTGCACTATGAGAAACTGACAACTCTTTAGTTTTTTTTTCTAGTACAAATAACAGGCAGTGGATCAAGATTTGTGTCTTGGCATGAAAGGAATTTTCCCCCTTGTCCCCTTACACTATGGACCTGATCATGACTGAGGCAAACATATGTTCCTCTGGTATATGAATTTCAACTCCCAGAATTCTCTAGCCAGCATGATTATTGCTGAGAATTCTGGGAATTGGGAGTTGCAAATCTGGAGGATGCTCAGGTCAAAGAAAGTACAGTACTGCAGTTTGTGAAGACAGACCTAGGGATCTCCCTCAGTAGAAACTGCTTCCTATATTTTCTTTGTTCTGGAGTAAATAAAGACGTTTTTTGGTATGAATTTATAAGTTCTTTATAGAAGAATTTAGGTTTTTTTTGTAAAAAGTCAAGTACAATAAAATACCAAATGGAGCCATATAAAATTACAAAAGTTAAAAATCACATAATAGTATCATAGCTGTGATATCAGCAGCATATGTTCCACCTCAAGCCTGAGCAGATGGGTCCTTAGTCAGTGCTAAAAGCTAGCAAGATTTGGCATCAGCTGTGAGTAGGCAGAGAGAACATTTCTTGCGCAGGGCACCTGTATAGAAAAAAAAAGCTCTCTTGGTTACTGCACAGCAGCACATTCAGGTAGATCTCTGTGCTAACTTTTAATTGCCAGGCAGTGGGCAAGGGATGAAGCCGCTGATCCCATACCCAAGTCCTGAACCACTTAGGCCTTTCTAAGACACAAACACTTGCACTTGGCTTAGATATGTATTGACAACATCCATCAGTACATTCCTCTTGTTGCCATAGACTCTTATTTTTGAGTCTGCTGATAAGTAGAAAGTAAATAATACAATAAGGGTATTCTTTCATAGCGTGGAAATCAGGTTCATGTGATTGTAGAAGATTGTTCTGTTCTGGAGACTATGTATTAAAAAGGCTATCTGAAATGCCCTTTGTGTTTCCCTTCAGTTCCTTAGGGAAGGAATCCATTACTTGATAAAGATGCTTGATTTTAGATGTTCTGACAACCCAAATGAGGAATTCCTAGTTCAGGAAACAGGCGCAGCTATGTTGGTCAATGAAGGTGAGTATTCAGTATTAATGCTTCTTCTAAGCAGAAAGGATTCTCAGCTGCACTTTGAAATAAAGGCACTTTGCAGAGAAATCTGCTAACATTGCAAGTGGGAAGCATTTATTTGCACATTATTGTCAGATGCTTCAGGTCTTATTTTTATCTCATCCACATCATCTAGTGATATGAACAGTAAAATAAATCAACTGGGAACTAGGAAATTCTGTAATACAATTATTGCTTAATACAGTGATTGCTTCATGTCTTATCCAGGATCCTTCCTCACTCTACCCTTTAATTCCCTCACCCAAAAAAACATTATCTTTCCATAGCTTTCTTTAGCTCAAAGCGTTCTGTATAGTTTTGGATAAAAATTCTCAGTTTTGTGCAAAAACGGATTTTTTTGCCAACTGCATAAATAAATATAGGATGAAAGCTGAGTGTACGTACACACACACACACACAAATATATAGAAATACAGATGTTTTAATTTGGCTAGTTGATTTCCATGCTGCAGTGTTCTCAGCTGCAGTTCACCGATTTCATATCCTGCTTTTATTTATATTTTGCTGTTCTCTTAGCAAAACAAAATTCAGAATGTACAAAAATGTAAAAGTGTGTCATCAGCATTTAAAAATTAAAACATCTGGTTAAAGCAAAAAGATAATTAAAAACATTTTTTTTAAAAGATGGTTTCACTTTGAGGAAGGCTTTGGTTTTCTAGCAGTCTCTCAAACTTATATAATTCATGACCCAGTCAGGGGCTGCTATGCTTCTATAGGGAGGAAACATGATAAAGAGAGATGATATGGTAATTAAATAAGAGAGACAGTGTGGTGTAAACGGTTAAGAGATTGCTGACACTGTGGAGACCCAGGTTCTAGTCCACCCTCAGCCACAGAAGCTCATTAGATGACTTGGACCAGGCACTCTAACCCAGACTACCTCCCAGGCGTGTTTGTGGAGAAAAATAAGAAGCCTTCAGCTCCTGCATGAAAGAGGGCCTATAAAACTGACCAGATAAATAAATGGCAGCACCTTCATCAAGAAGTCCCTGTTTTCAGGCAGCCAGGTGTGGGTTTCTAGCCCTCTGCAAGAACAACAACAGAACAGGCTCTTCAGCCAGTCTCAATGGATAGCGTGGCTGGTAGTGGAAATGTGCTTGTCTAAATATATGGATCCTAAATTAGTTCAGTCTTTATTCCTTCAACTGAGTCCGGTAGCTCTCAGACACCCAGTGGAATGCCTTTTAAAATCAGTGTCATAAACTCCTGCTTACTCGCCCATTGAATCTAGACCAGTGTTTCTCAGACTTGGCAATGAAGATGTGTGGACTTTAACTCCCAGAATTTCCTCAGCCAGCCATGCTAGCTGGGGCATTCTGGGAAGTGAAATCCACACATCTTAAAGCTGTCAAGTTCGAGAAACACTGATCTAGACTAACTTCAGTTGTAAGCTCACAACTGGATTCCAAAGCCCCATATATGCAAAACAGATAAATTATATTAGAATGAATACACGTTTCAAGTCTCTTCCAGTTCGCTGCAGTTGATAACGTAATGCAGGCTTTTTCTCTCCAGCTACTGGTAAAGGAGAGAGAGTAGCTCTAACCAGGCTTAGGGATTATTTGACCCAAACTTGTTTCTCTTCCCCCTCTGGCAGGTATTTTTAGCGATACCCATCTGCTGGCAATGATGTACTGTGGAGAAATGTGTTACTGGGGGCTGAAGTACTGTGGAGAAGAGAAGCCAGATCAGGGCACAGAGACAGAACTGCGTAGAGAATCGCCGGGCAGTTCACACAGCAACATCTTGGACTTCCAGGAAATTGGAGAGAAAATGTTAACAAAATACATAGCAGTGTGTGAAGGACCTTTAAGATCACATGGTTGGGATACAAAGAACGCTAAGCGCATATTGGACTATTTTAAACAACTGTCATCCTAACTGACATAAGCAGATGATGTGTGTACTGAAAGCAAGCATTAAACTGAAGGAAATGATAGAAATTTGTTTTACTGTTGCAGTACGGTTACATACCTTTTAAAGTGAGCTTTCAGTGCTGTGTTTCTTGATTTCAGTTGTACAGAAATTGTTGGAACTATGGTACAAGTTACTTTGGGAGAATTTCAGAAGGGTCATTTTAAAGGCTAGAACAGTGTTTCTCAAGCTTAGCAACTTAAAGATGTCTGGACTTCAACTCCCAGAATTCCCCAGCCAGCATGCTGGCTAGGGAATTCTGG